TTCAGTCAATTGTTTCAATCCTTGTCTAATATGTCTGCAAACACACGCATCCAACTGTTCAGTCAATCCATAAAATGTTAGACTTTTCAATTGTTGGTGATATCTATCAATCAACAGATCCATAGTATAGACGGATAGCACATCTGACGATGATGTCTGCACAGGGCTACCATCTAATGACAATTTGGTCACATTTGGACATATTTTGGCCATCAATTCAATAACTTTACCGATAAATGGCTTATTTATGGGAATAAAAACAAATGATATGTTCGGACACTTCTTCAGTATTGTCTTAATGGTGTCCATCTGTTTTACGGTCAGTTTTTGTTGACCATCTTTTACAGTATATAAGTATTCGATGTTCAGTGCAGTGACTGACCGATAGATAACTCGATGCCATTGACGGCACAGACATTCATATTGGAACCGCTGTCTGACTGACAGATACGACAACACGAGTTGTGTCAGATCATCGCCAAATCTGTCGAAACTCTTGCGCCAACTGTTTTTACTTCTAGTTTGTCGGACAACTTGTTGTTGTTGTTGTTGTCGTTGCTGAACATCAATACTACACTTCTTCTTCATCGGTGATGAGTTTTTCCGGTCATTCATATTGTTTAGGAGTTGTTTAATATGAGTTAAACAATAATTATTACTAACAATACTTTCTCTTATCATAAGTTACTTTAAAAAAAACTTATAATATTATTATAGATATACAGTATATACTGTATTTAACTTATATTTTATATGATGTGTTTAAAAACTTTTTAAAATAAAACTTTTTTTTATAATGAAAACTGAATTTATATATTCATATATTGAATTACAAAATATTTATACACACATCAATAGCAACAACAATAATGACATACATTTAAAAAATAAAAGTTATTAATATATAAACATTTAAATACTAATACTTATACTAATACTACTACTATTATAATACACACAAACATCTGCGCTGTTAATAAAACCTTATGTAATAATATTGATGTAATGCTTATATTATAACAACAAAAAATAATGTTGTTTTCATTGAATTACAACAACACATATACAGGTATTACAGGTAATTTGTAACCTAATTTATAATTATATTTTCAAATTATGTGCTATATTTAATAATACATGTGATATAGTAATACAGGTTTTTAACAATTATAAATGATATATACACACAAAAAAAATAATGAAATGAACTGGTTATAAATTTTTACTTATAATAATAATAAATAATAATAATATCTAAAATAAAATAAAAGCCCTTGGGCGTGGTTCACATATTACGTTCGCATTTTTTAAAGAAATCTAGATCCCTCCCTCCCCTATGTTCGCATGTAGTCATTTTTAAAAAATTACGTTCGCCCTAACCGCTACCCCCCCCCACCACAAGAAATAGGATATCAAAATACGAACGTTCTTAAAGTCTCTACCCCTCCCCTCCCCCTCGTTCGCAAAAGTTCGCTTTAGCTAACCCCCTCCCCTCAAGTGCGAACATAATATGTGAACCACGCCTTGGATCATTTTAGGTAAATCCAATATACATTAACAGGTAATTGTTATATTTATGATAGATAAAAAAAATTACCGGTAATTTGTAACTTAATTTATATTATATTTTCAAATTATGTGCTATATTTAATAATACAATGATATAGTAATACAGGTTTTTAACATTTATAAATGATATACAGACACACAAAAATAATGAAATGGTTATAAATTTGTACTTATAATAATAAAATCTAAAATAAAGTAAAAGCCCTTGGATCATTTTAGGTAAATTCAATTTTTACATTAACATTAAGTGTTTTATATGATAGATAAAAATTACCGGTTATTACATGAAAAAAAAAACAGTATATTATTTAGTATTATTGATTAAATTAAAAAATATAATTACCGGTAATAAAATAAAATAAAATAAAATAAATAGTTTATTGTTGTTATTAACGATATTTCAATAAATATCTTTTGCCGTAATATGTCTGCAAACATCTGAGTTGTTGTTTGGATGATATGTTGGCCAACAATTGGCTCAATTGATCCACACGTATGTCGACATCAATCGTTTGTCGATCGTCTCTACTATTGTCGTCCGACAGAAAGTATTGTCGACGAAACGGATTAATAGAGTCGGTCGGTGTCCACGGAATTACCATATTTGATAGACAAACCAATTGCGGTAATTGATGGACAAGTATTACAAAAAAATAGTTGTCCTGCAGTTCCCAATTACAACCGTCGAGTGCCAAATGCCTTAACAGTTTCATCTGATTCAACGACTGGATGTCAAAGTTTGTCGACGAACAAGGAATCTCCAGACGTCGTAAATGTCTGAAATGATTGTTAATTGTGTCAAACAGTATGTGTGTGTCTTCGGGCAGTAGTGTCACACCTAATGATAGTTTACGAAGTTGTCGGCACTTAAAGCCTATTAGCTTAAGATGATCGACAAATACTCTAACCGATGGCAATGGATAGTCTAGATCTTGCAAAATATACCACTCTTGTGTTATCATCAAATCATTCAATTGGGTCAGTCGTGACAAACCGGTTATCAATGTCTTCAGCGATAGTAAATCAAGATTTTCTTTGATCACAACATAAACTTTGGTCAGACTATTGGCACAGATATCCACAAAATTATCGTAACTTTTCAAATCTGTCGACGACTTGCATATAAATTGAATTGTCTTTAGTTGGCGACCAAACTCACGGTTAGTTTGGTCAGCAAAAAGTGCCGCAAAAATGTTGTTGTCGTCTTCATAGTTAATTATATTCAATTCAGTCAATTGTTTCAATGATTGTCTAAAATGTCTGCAAACACATCCATCAAACTGTTTAGTTAATCCAAAATATGATAAGCTTTTCAATTGTTGGCGATATTTGTCGAAAAACTGATCCATAGTATAGACAGACAAATCTGATTTATAGCCAGTCATACTAGATATTGACAATTTGGTCACATTTGGACACATTTCGGCAATCATTTCGACAACTTTACCGACAAATGGTTTACTAATAGTAATGAAAACAAATGATATGTTCGAACACTTCCTGACAATTGTCTTAATGGTGTCCAACTGTTTTGCGGTTAGATTTTTTTGACCATCTTTTACATTATATAAGTAGTCGATGTCCAGTATGATGACTGACCGGTAGATAACTCGATGCCATTGACGGCACAGACATTCGTATTGGAATCGCTGCCGAACTGACAGATACGACAACAACAGTTGTGTCAGATCATCGCCAAATCGGTCGAAACTTTTCCGCCAACTGTTCCTAAGTCTTGAACTACTTCTAGTTTGTCCGACAACTTGTTGTTGTTGTTGTTGTTGACTATCACTACTAAACTTCTTCTTCTTATTCTTCTTCATCATCGGTGGTAATCTTTTCCGTTCGTCATTCATATTGTTTGATGAGTTTATTTAGTCAAACAATTACTAACAATTAAATACTTTCATCTAATCATAAGTTAATTTAAATACTTATAATATATATATATTATATACTTATCTTATCTTATATTTTACATATTGTATGATAAGTGTGTTTAACAATTGTTTTTCAATTTTTTTAATCAAAAGTCAATTACAATATGATATTAATAAAAAATTTACTGTATATTGAAGTAAATGTGTATTAATAATATTGCATTAATACAGTAGTATTGCATCAACAATAATGTTAATACATTTTAATACATTTTAATACATTTTAATACATTTTAAACACTGATATTTGTCTAATACTATTAGTCTAATAGACAGTAAGTCATGCGCTATAATATTAGTTGATGTAATGCTTTACAATACTATTGACCCGATTGTTGGCCAAACAATATATCATCCAAACAACAACTGAAATGTTTGGAAACATTTTATGGCAAAAAATATTTATTGAAATATCGATAGAAATAAAACATTATTTTTTATCCACAATTAATTAACATTTAGGTAGTAGTAGTAGTAGTAGTAGTAGTAGTAGTAGTAGTAGTAGTAGTAGTAGTAGTAGTAGTAGTAGTAGTAGTAGTAGTAGTACTTTACACTTGTGTTTAAAATTTAGTTAAATAAACTATTTTATTATTTTAATATATACTTTCTAATTGTAAAAATATATATAATTTAATCAAATATTACACTTAAAATTATTGGATTATTACTTCAATCGATTATTAAAAAAATTGTCTATTTTTTCTCACTTATTATTCAATTATTTTTGTGTTTTTTATTTAATTTGAATTTATACACTAATGAATATAAATATATATTTGTTTTACAGGTTTTAAATACTGAAAATAAATTTAGTAAATATAATAATAAATTAATGTCTTTTTCTTATACCTATATTATTTAATTGCAGATCCAATTGATAGCTGTTTTGTATTGACTTTGAATATACAAAAGTTTTTGAAAACTATTAATAAACAACAGTTGTGTTTGCATTGATTTTTTTTGTGGAAAACATTGAAATTGTTTGAATCAAATTAAAAAATAAAATAAAACTATTTTTAATCTATAGTTTATCTAAAAGTTTAGACTATAAGACTATTGTTATTAGACAATAACAAAAAAAACTAATTGATTAAAAAATAATTGTTTATTTTTAATTGATTATCTTTTTTTGTTGTTGTATTTAAAATGTGTTATTTTATTTTATTTAAAATATATATATATATTAGTGATCTAAAATAAATGTTTTATTTATTTAAACGACATTAATTGAAATAAATATCTAAATATTTTATAAGTTATAATTATTGACGAAAAAATAATACATAATTAATGTAAAAATATGGAAATTACAAAATTTAAAGTGAACTAAATATTATTATAAAAACAATTAGTAACATATTAATTGATAAAAAGACATTTATAGGTTATATAATAATAACAGTGTATATTAATCTATATTTTAAATACATATATAATCTATTATTAATATATTTATAAATATTTATTATATATATATATATTTGTGTGTAAATTATTATAAAAAATTAAAAAAATGTTTATTTTTATTTTTTTTGGTATATCCTATGCTATTATATATATATATATCTATGAAAAAAATGTGCGGACAAGACCTTTGATGGTCTGCCGACAAACGGGACAATCGGTTAAACGTTCGGCGCATTCAATACACGCCAACTGATGACCGCACGGAAGAAATACAATCTCTATTTCTTTCAATAGACATATTTTGCAAAGCAATCGGTTATTAGTGTCCGAACCGCCGCCGCTGCCGCCGGCATTGGTAGTGGACATTGAAATTTGGTTCTGATTGGCCACCAGTAGTGAACCGGTCGATGACGACCCAGACAACTGTGTTGTCAATGTTGGTGCTGTTTTGGTGGTGGCGGTTGTATCGTTGGGTTCACTGTTTATGGAAGACATGGACTGGGATTTTGGCTGTTGTGGTGGTGGTTGTGGTGATGTAATGTTGTTAACATTTAGCTGATTTGTTGCTGTATTATCTCTGTAATTAAAAAAAACAATTAATTAATAATTTTAATTTCTATTAAAATTATAGTAAAAATTGAATATTAAACAAAATTTATAAAAATTATAATATTTGCATACCTTGTTTGACTATTAATTAGCGGCAAATTATTATTATTATTATGGACAACAATATGCGGACAATTGGCCGCCGCCGACGCTACCGCAGACACAGAGCCAAACAAACGATGATTGGCCGCCTGAGTGCTGACCGCATCGTACAACTGGGCAAACGAGTCGTACGGTCGTCGACACTGATAATACCTTTGGTTAAGTGTAGCCCTCAGTACGTCCACTGAGTAGAGATTCAGATCCATCAGTTGTCGGACAACCGGATTGTTGGCCAGCCATTGGTCGACCATTTGACAGGCGAGTTCAGCTTCTCTATTAGTATTACCGATACTACTGGAGCCGCTACCGGTTGTTGTTGTGTTGGCGGTGGGAGTGGTAGTCGTTGTGTTACTGATGCTATTATTATTATTAACAATGTCATTGTTATTAGCAGCAGCTCCCTGTGCTACCTGATCCAAACGGTGACATTCCTGTATAAATGTTTGCGATTTGTTTAGCTTAAGAAAGGAACAGTTAGGAAATTTTTTGGCATGCTCGATCCAGGGATCATCGCCCGGTGCCCATTCAGCTAAACCGCCCCCGCAATGAAAACATTTGACCGCATCGGCGTAACCTATTGAATTGGTAATAAATAAATAATTAACTTTATTATATATAAGTTATGTTTGTTTTAAAATATTAAAAATTTTAATCTATAGTTTATAAAAAATAAATTTACTATTTTTGTTGTCAATGATATTATTAACATATTTTTTTGGATATTGTATTATTATAATTATGTTATTTTTTATAGTTATTTTACAACTATATTATTATTAAGATTATTGATTATATTTTTTTTTTGAAAAAAAATTATTTAATAAATATTTAAAATCTTAAATTTCATAGATTATAAATTTTTTAAAAATTATCAAAATAAAAGTTCATTGATCACCAATTATTGATTATCACCCAAAAATAAAATAAGTCATTGTTTTTTATAATTAGCAGTAACTTATCAGTTATTTTTTGTTGCTATTATTGCTCATCGCTTATCAATTACAGGTATATATATATATATACAGACTGGTAAACAAACAAATAAAACAATAGGTAATTAAAATGTCAATAACTGTTGCAATCAAATGACAAGACAAGTACACACAACATGTGACAAATCAATTAAATATAATAATAATAAAAGTTTTAGACAACAAAAAATATATGATTTATCATTTATATGACTACTTATTAATTTATTTGCATATAATAATAATAATAATCACTTGACTAACATATACAAAATATACCGTAATAGATAACATAACATTTACCGTAAATTATTGTATTATTTTAAAAAAAAACTAAAATAAACCCTACATTACCTTTAATTATAAAACTAACTAATAATTAGAAATAATTTAAAAATTAAAATAATAATAATAAAACACTTACCGATATAGTAAAAGCCAGCTTCGGCTAACCTATCGGTGCTGACCGGTATAGACAGATCCCAGCCGTTGACTGTCGCAAAGGTTGTCTTACGGCTGTCCAGTGGACCCATTTCGGAACATTTGGGTCCGGAATACAAGTGAACGCCCAACGATTCGACATCAGGCGGTACACGAAGCGGTGGCTGACCGGTTGGTGTGACGATAACATCGCCGACAATTTGTTCGGCCGGCGACGTATGACCCGAACCGCAAACGTCGTGACCGATCACTGGTTGCGGATCGCGAATCGGGTCGAAACCGATCGGTTGGTTTCCTACATCCTCTTCCATTATGAACGGACACAACGGGAAGTGTTTTGAGTGTTCGTCAAGTGGTCGCAGACCTAATGAAAACCGATAGTTAAAAGTTAATTATAAATTTATTAAAACTTCTGATTTTAAAAAATAATGATTCATATAATTAAATAATAATAATAATAATAAACATTAAATTAACAATAAACTAAATTTAGTTGATTTTTTCTAAAAAAAATATTAGGTAATTAAAAATTTCGAAATTATTTTTATAAAAAATATATATTACTATACAACTATAATAATGAAATAATTATTTTAAAATATTGCAATAAATATAAAACTTTATAAATAAATATGATAGTTAACTAATTTTATTTATATACAATATTTTTTAATGAATGTCTATTTTTATATTACAGTAATATTTATAAATTATTTATTTTCTCTATCTATATCAACACAAATAATGATAACAATTTTATAATTGCAAAAACATATATATTTATTTAATAATTAAATAATACTAAATTTTTTTATCTATTTAAAAACAAATTTGTTTACATAATTAACTCAAAATATTTACTTATTTTTTATTACTTTAGCATAAAAATTAGTCAAAAATTTTTGTTACTTAAATATTGCTTAAAAAATACTTTTAAATAAATTGATTAATCTCATTGACTATATAATTTAATAATAATTTATATGATCAATAATTAAGTAAATGTTTTCAAAACTTTACAGTTTTAAGAAAATGTTTTTTTTCAAAAAAAAAACATTTGTCAATAATTACTGTACATTTCCTAAAATATGGTATTAATAGTAGCAATTAATTTGCAATTAATTATTTAATTTTATTCATAACTTATATATTAGAAAATCATAATTATATTAATAATTAATTTTAAATTAATTTTAAATAAAATATAACCTACCCGGAGCCCAGTTGCTAACAATGCCCGTACAAAATGCACACTGCACCCGATCGTTGTCTAACATGTAGAAGCCAGCTCTGGCCAGATCTGTCGGCAACACCTGGGGTACTGTCCATAGAGACAAACCGTTTACATAGTAACTGTTTCGTCGGTTTCGTTCGGATTTCATAGTCTCCCGGAGCTCAGCTAATGTCATATCACTGACAACAGTGTTTGTGTTTGTTGTCGCCGTTGGACTAATTGGTATATTGTTTCTCATAATTGTTGGTATATTTTGATGGTCATCAATATTGTTATGTTGTTGTTGTTGATGATGTCTTGATGTATGATCATCGCTAAACTCATCAGTAGGACTGGGACTCATCGATCCGGTTCCAGATCCAGTAGTCGATGGGTTGCCACTAGTTGTTGAGGAGGAGGAGCTGCCACTGCTAGACATATCGTCAGATGACGGAGAGCTACTTAATAGTGAGGAACTGTCGCTATTGTTGCCCGAGTCGTCTGAATCTGAGTTTCTTTTAGCCGAAGACACCACAACCAGCTGATGATGACCATTGGGTGCCGCCGAAGATAATAGAGTTGATGGCTTTGTTGATGATAATGTCAGTGGTTGTGATAATGATAATAATGACTGTACAGTAGTAGTAATACCGGTGCCGTTAATATTTAATGATGTGGGGATTGTATTATTGCGTGTATGAGTAGTAGTAGTGCTATAATTGTTGGGTAAGACTAGATTGTTGTTGATCTGGGGGTGATTATAGTGACCACTGTTCAAGTGGTGATTATTTGTTAGAAAGTTTTGACGACAATTGGGAAACAACTGCCGGTGCCTATCGATGGACAACTGTTGCTGTTGTCGATCATCCGTGCAATAAACGATTGTCCGATCGCCGGGCGCCCGGAGCTGTCCGTTACACTCGATGCACTTGAGATTAGTGCCAGTGCCCGTATAATAGAAACCCGTAGCAGCCAACTGTTTGGCTATTGGTTGACTGTCCCGATCGGGCCATTGTTTAAACGTATTTAATCTATTGGATACTTGTCTTAGTAGTTGTTTGTTGTTAATGTTAAGCACTGGTAGTTGTTGTGGTTGAGTAGGACTGGTAGTATTAGTAGTACTAGCACTGGTATCTCCCTGTACTAAACTGATAGCTGCTGCTGCGGCTGATCTTTGGTAACGATTGGGTCCGTCCTCTACAGGCATGACATCACATATAATAAACTTTTTATTAATAATAATATTTTTTATGTGACAATAAATATTTTTTTGTTGTTAACTCTTTTTGTTTGTTTTTTATATATATTATAAGCAAATTATTTTTCAGTTATATTAATATAAAGTTTTTTTTTGAATCATTAAATTTTTTTAAGCGATGGGTTGGGACTGTTGTTGTTGTCGTGTTGTTTCAGTCGTGTTTGTCATTCAAATGTTATTTTTTGTTTTTTGTTGAATAAATATATTTAAATATATTTTATTTATATATATATAAATAATAAACTATTTTGAAGCATAAAAAATAACTAATAAATTCAATAGCAATCGTGTAGTCGTTATATATTCACACCAAAAAAAAATAAATGCCGTGCAATATATATAATAATAATATTATTAGTTTTTATGCAATGATTTTTTTATATTATTATTAAATGCAAAATATCTGTAAAATACAAAAAAATAAACAAAAAAATTAAATGAATGAATAGAAAAAAAAACAAATAAAAAAATTAAAAAAAAACGTTATTATGTTTGCAAAATAATAGAAAGTAAAAAAAACAACAACAAAAATAAAATATTTTAATGCAATTAAATTATACAGTTATGTATTATTATTATTATTATTATATAGAAATTTATATATTGTATGCAAAATAGGAAATGAAATGCAAAATGCATGACAAGTGTATAGGTATTTAAAAATCATTACAATTATTGTAATCATAATTTTTTTTAATGATAATATGTTATTAAAATTTTGTGTGACTTTCATCTCTCTCTCTCTCTCTCTCTCTCTCTCTCTAATATTTTACACTCACTCACCCACCCATCCATTTATGCTTAACATTAGTAAACATATACATATAAAAATTTAAATAAGTAAAACAAGATAAAAACAAAAATTTTTAACTGCTTTTTTCAATATTATCATTGAATTGGGTGCTATATATGGATATTTCTATGGACTAATATGGATAGTTTATGGATAAAAATAAATAAAAATTTAAATGTGATTTAATTTTTTACTGTTATAATTAATTATTGGCTGTAAATCAATATAACAATAGAATAATAATAATACATGAATCATGAAATGTTAAGTATTAAAATCAAAATAAATAAATAATTAAATAAAATCAAAATAAAACGTGGGTTTTTTTCAAAAGAAAATAATAATAAATATATTTATCATAGTTTTAAAATACAAATATATATATATATATATGAAAAATTTAATTTTACTTAACAAAAATAGTTATTTTAGTAGAAAATAAATAGATGGATATTATTAGTAAAATTTAGTTAATTTTATGCCAATTTAGAGTACTTACAGATTTTTTTTATAAAAAAAAATATATGAATAAACATATGTTAAAATTATTCAGCAAACAAAATAATTGTAATGTAAGTAGAAAACACAAGTTTAATATATTAAATAAAATATAATTGAGAGAAACACAATTGTGATAATGTACTGTATAATTATTAATAATAATAATAATTTCATAAATAAAACAAATATAATAAATAAATTTGCAAACTAACAAATATATATTATTTACTAAATTATTTATATTTATATATAAATATTTATAAATGACTTAGATGTTTATAATTTTATTATATATTAATATATATAATATATATGTTATCAACTATAGTAAAAGTAATCTCAATGATAATAAGTACAACACATACCGTATAATTAATAAATGTTTATAAGTAATATATAATATTTTAATTAATATTTATTATATATCGGCTTAATTTATAAATGTACTTTTATTTTTTAAAAAAAATTGGCGTCAATATAATCATAAATTCACTTAAAATTAATAATATTATCATAAAAATAGTAGTAAATAGTAAATACTATACAATCAAATGATAAAATTAGGGAGTGTTTCACACAATAATTGTTTATTTGTTGTTGTTTTCCTACTTAAGAAATTTTTTTTCCGGTGAAAATTTCTCGGAAAATTTCATTATAATATCGTTGATGATTCACAATTTATACTAATGTACTACAGCATGCACACTCTACATGTTAAAACTAAATTAGCAAATTGCAAGTCATCAAGTACAAATTAAAAGTAAAATTTTTACCGTTTATATTATATATTTATCTATATATATATATATATATATATCATTATCATCACGTGATAAATATATGTAAGATAGCAAAAATAAATTGCAATACATTGCATAGTACTGTACTTTACTTCAAAATTTTTGAGGTTTAAAATTTCAAATAAACTAAAAACTATTGGTAAGACATGTAGTAATTTTGTTTACAACAAAAATAAAATAAAATGATAATTCATAAAGAAATATTTATGAAATTTTTTATAATACTGTAAAATAATAATAATAATATTAAATAACAGTTATATACATGTTTTATATCAAATAACTTTAACAGTTTTAATTTAACAGTTAGAAATAATTTATGCCATATCATGGTTTTTATTATTATTACTATTATATTTCCTTATTTATACAGTTTTATATTATTTCTATTTAAATAAATTATAGATAAAACCTTATTTAATAAAAAACTATTGATATAAGGGAAACTCCATTTTAACTAATAATAATAAATGTATGTTTAGTTAATTGGCTATATTATTGGTTATTGTTATTTATTTATTTTTTTGATAAATAATTATTTTAAAAATTGTTAGATATTTTTAACAAGTTCCAGGAAAAATACATTTTTTAAAAATAATTAGCTAATTGAATAAAAATTTTTAAAGTAAATATTGTTTATTATAATGACCTAATATTATCATATAAGTGTATATTTTGGCATTAAAACAACATTTTTTCTAAAATTTAATAAACAATTATAATATTAAGTAAATTTTATAATATTATATATATACATGTAATTTATATTTAATATCTTTTATTATTGGCAATATTTCAAACAAATATATAGCAAATAAATTTAAATAATAATAATAATAATAGTTATGTGAAAATAATAAATTATTTTTATTTATTTATTTATTTGTATTTTTTTATTGTAAAATTCCAATTATTGCAAAAAGTTATTTCATTCATAAAATTATTTTTATAAATCAAATAAAAATATAGTATTAATAATATAATAATAATAATAATAATTAGATAAATGTCATTGATAAAGTTATGCCAAATATGCAACAGTAAACATGCATATAAATAATAATAATAATTTTTTAATAAAACAAACTCAGTAAACACTATAATATATTATTTTATTTTATTTATTTTTTTTTAATTATTTGTTCAATGTAAATTCCAATGTAAATGTATATAATATATCATATCATAGTATAATAATAATAATAATATGATAATATTGAAATTGATAAATATAAACATGTTTAAAAATTAAAATGTTAACTTACCACACAATTATTATTATTATTATTATTAACTAATAAATAAGATATTTAATCATGTACACAATAACACACACACACACAATTATTTGCACTGTTTTATCAACAAAAAAAATTAAAATTAAAATTAGATTAGCATGATTAAAAAAAATACTAATTAATATATTACATACTAAAAGATAATTAGTTCAAACAATTGATTGATAAAAAAAATATTAGTATTTTTATTAGTATTATTAAAATAAACAAAGTTACAAATTATTTATTTTAAAATATATTTTATTAATTATTTATTTTTTTATAACTATATCATCCACGTATAGTTAAGTTAGTTATATTAGTGTATACTGTATATTATAATACAAATGTATGAATGGGGAAATAGACAGATGTTTGTGCCCCCATTATATTTTTTTGCATACCATAAATAATGTTGTAGTGGGGGGGGGGTTAGGTATATATATATATATATATGTATGTGGTATGTATAATAAATTTAACATGATATATAAAATGTTTAGGGATGGGTGGGGGACAAATTATGCTAACTAACATTGTTTATGATTGTAGCATGCGCATTGTGTTATTTATATCAATGAATGTAGTTTTATTATACTATATTATGTAGTATAGTGTTATCTATTATATACTGTAGTATACTATATATATATATAATCTATGAATTTATATGTATATATATACCGTATATAGTGTATAGTATTTACTGTACATATAGAAAGCTTTAGCGTCTTTTTGTATCAATGATAATTATATATATGGTTATAGTCATTTCCTACATGTGCAGTTTTATGTAACTTTTATATAAATATACAGTAATACGGTATGATTAGATGTGTTGAAAATTGTTAAAATAAAAAATTTGTGCATATGTGCAATTGCAGTACTACTACTACAATATATGATTGCAATCTAATGTGCAATTTTTTTCCTATTATTATTTTTGCCATCCTATTGGTTGGTCAATGGAATTTTTAAACATGGAATGTTTGTTAATTTTATAAAAACATGAAATATTCCATGTTAAATTTACCATGTTAAATGTTCCATGGTAAATGAAATACCATTAAAATTACATTAAAATATTAATTTTTTTGTAAGCAACCTAGATTAACTTTACTAACAAGATAATTAATTAGTTAAATTTTTAAGATAAAAACTAAAATATTATAAAAGTTATGTTACATAGTTTTATTTTTAATTAATAAAAACTACTATTATTAAAAATTATTATGTAGCTAGTATCAATTAGTTTTTGTTGTTGTTGTTGTTAATAACATTTTTAAATTTTCAAAAAATACACTATACTTGATATTTATTTGTTTTTTAATTATTACCGGTAATTATTAAAAAATACGTTATTACATCACTACATAATACACACACACACATACACACACACATACATACATACACACACATACACACACACACACACACATACACACACATACACACACACACACACACATACACATACACATACACATACACATACACATACACATACACACACATACACACATACACACATACACACATACACACATACACATACACATACACATACACACACACACACATACACACACAWACACACACACACACATACACATACACATACACATACACACACACATACACACACACACACATACATACACAATAGAAACTAACCGTCACCTCAAATATAAAAAGTTAGTATTTTTTTGGGACACTAGATGTTAGAGCTGTACTAACCCAACCCAAATCATATCAACAAATATAAAAACCAAACCTAAAAAATAAAAAACTATTGAATATTCCGGGCAAACATCTCTAGTGTCTATTTGAACACAACTAATGTATTGTTTGTAAACATTGTATTTATATTTGAGTTATTTTTTTCAAAAAAAAAGTATTCAATAAATAAATAAATAAAACATTAGTTTATTATTATTATTATTATCGGGTTATTGACTGAACCAATCAATCCATGGATTCGGACACCGATTACGATGAAGAAGACGAGGATCAGTGGTCAGAAGCACGGGAAACATTGGACATCAGAGGAGGAGGAGTTGCCGTCGATGACGAGGACAACAACAACGACGGCAGCGGCGCCGCTGAAGAGGACAAAGATGACGACCAGACCGATGTCGAAGAGGTCAGTAGTAGTAGTAGTCAGTAGTGTCTTGACTCGTGTTTGACTACATGTTATAATCAATCAACCGATAGGCCGACGACGACAACGACGATGACGACGAACCGATGGACGTCCAAAACAAAGACCAAACCCTCGATGACTGTCTTCGACAGTTTGCCGCCGAAGACTATATAATGGAACCGGGAATCAAAGAGTCGCTGATCCAGTATTTCCAATCGGGCGGTACACCCGAACAAGTTGTCGAACTACTATCGGATAACTATCACGCTATCGCCCAGACGGCCAACCTATTGGCCGAATGGCTAATAATGACCGATTTGAAGATATCCGAAGTCCAATCACTGGTTGAAGATCATCTGAAACATATGATTATCAAACATTTTGATCCGAAAAAGGCGGACACTATTTTCGAAACTACGGGTACACCTCAATGGTTAACCGAAATGATTGAACACCAAACGTGGCGATCGTTGATCTATAAGTTGGCCGAAGATTATCCCGATTGTCTGATGTTGACGTTTACGGTTAAACTGATATCTGATGCCGGATTTCAAGGAGAGATTACATCCATATCGACTGCCAGCCAACAGTTGGAAGTATTTTCAAGAATATTGAAGACATCGACTAATAATTTCTTGGAAAAAGGCGAAGAAACGTTGGACACGAATATTAATGAATTTATTGTTAGACTTTTAATTAATTAATTAATTAAAATTAATTTTAGTTATTTAACTAATTATTAACTACCTGTCCTCTCTCTTTCCTCCTCCCTATCCTAATAGAAAATGGTTTGTCACGGCGAACATACATTTCTCTACTCCCAGGCCATGATGAACGTACTGTCACAGGAGGCTAAAGGTGGCCAAAGTATTAAACGACTGTCGCAGGAGATATCTAACTGTGCATCAAAACACGGACACGACGCTACACCTATACTACTGTCACTGAACGGTGCATCGGCTCATCCGCGTGTCAGCCAAGCACTGACTGCTATGCTGTCGAAGAATGCCTTGAATCCGGCCGACATAACTGTCCTCTACAAGTCATATCAGGCCCAAGATTCGCCGCCACCAGTCGAACTGCTTAGAGTACCTCAGCTACTGGAGCTACTGTTGGACGCCCTATTTAAACCCCAATGCAAACTACATCCGGAACACAAACCCAAGTATATCTATTTGTTGGCCTACGGAGCCTCAGTCTACGAGACCTATACGGGCGGTAAGAAATCTGTTCGGCGAACACTGAATCGCGACGAACTCAAAGGTACCGTTCAGGCCATTGAAAAAGTGTCGACAATTTGTACGGAAAACAAAGGTTCATCAGAGTTGTTACCGGAACTGAACTCACTGTTCCAGTGTATACGTTATCCAGTGTGCGGTCTCGGCTTATGTCAATGGGTCAGGAATGTTGTGTCGGAACGGACCTACTTTCAGCTCAGCACTGAACACACGCCATTGCATTTGGCACTGTTAGATGAGGTTAGAGACTAGACGACTGTCCCCCTAGTATTACCGGTATTTACAGTAATATTGACGTAACCTTTTCCGCCATAATAGGTGACGACATGCCATACGACACTACACTCCCGGGTACTCGATCTTTATATACAGATCTTCGAAGAACAACAAGAAGAACTTGAAGTATTGGCCCAATTGGAGGTCAAGAAGATGCTATTGGATCGTATGGTACATCTGTTGTCACGCGGGTGTGTCGTACCCGTCATAAACTATATTAAACAGTGTATCGATAGGGGAGAGACCGATATGTCGCTGATCCGCTATTTTGTGTGCGAAGTATTGGATGTAATAACACCGCCATTCAGTACAGAGTTTGTCCAATTGTTTTATCCAGTTGTCAACAATACCGATGTTACCGGTAGTCTCAGGTCGGACACTGAACAACAACTTGTACAACAGTTTCTCAGTTAGTATATACAGTACAGTCCTTACACACACACATACTCAGCACCGGTAGTAGTAGTGTTGTGTTGAGGACTAGTAGTCAATTAAATTTGATTTATTAATTTGGTTTTTATCTCTATTTTTAGCTCATTGTCGACAAAATTACAAGTCGTTTGTCTAAAAAAATAATAATAATAAAACACTCATAAAATTTTGAAATTATTTTTTCATATTCATTGTAAATATTTTTTCATTTAAATAACTGATATTTTTTTGGAGTTGTTTTTATTAAATAATAAATTATATACCGTTATAATAAAAGCGTAATTTTATAGTTAATAATAATAATAATAATTTTTATTATTTGTTTAAGAAATTTATATAAAAATTTATAATAATTATATATCAATGTGTTTTATATTTAGAATTTTTAGTATAGCTAGTTTACAATTTTCATCCAGCAATTCAATGGCATTGGAAATATTAAACAAATTATTATTAGTATTATTATTAACTAAATTATCAATTTTAGTTAAATTATTACTTAAATCTAGATAATAATATTCTATAAAATCAATATAATTATCATTACTATTATTATTATTATTATTGGCTGTCAATTGATAAATGACTGGACTATCCGTTTTATTGATCAAACCATCAAACTGAGGATCAGTATAGACGGGGAACTCATCATAAATCACACAACTGTTATCTTTCAGTGACTTATTCAACAAAATTTTCTTCATATTACTATCGATAACAATCAACGACTGTTTTATTTGATGTAAACAATCGTTGAATATCATTAAACGACTGGTCGTACCATCAGACGCATCCCTGACCACATCATACATATTGTTGTTGTTGTTGATGGTGACGGGTGTCTGTCTAACAACAACACCACCAGCAGCTGCCGAGACACCCGCCGGCGACAAACACCACGCTTTCCATACTAGCTGTCGGTCCTCTTCATAGGACAACCGTTTGACAGCTTCATCGACAGTATGCCATTCGCTAACAAAGTTTTCATAGCTTTCCTGTGTATGGCTGTCCTGCCGACTGTCGGCCAATCGGCTATAAAACCAATAGATTACTTTAATACCCGGATTGCCGACACTGCTGGTAGGCCTAATCTGTACGGCCAACAGTTGTTTGCTACAATTGGTTGCCGATGTGGCCACCAATTCATTGCGATAACCAGTTTCCTCGTAGACCTCCCGGACAGCCGTTTCTTCTATGCTTTCATCCGGATCTTTATGGCCTTTAGGTAGCAGATATTCCTGTAGTGTCGGTTCCCATAGGATCAGCACCCGATCGTTGAGTTCGTCGACGAGTACACCGCCGGCGGACAAGTGTTTGTGGTCGGGTATGTACGAAACGGTACGGTTGGACGACATTTTGTTGTTGGACACTGGAAATTGATTGTACACTAAATTATATTTAGTATATTATTATTAAGGTATTTAATTAAAAATTACCTTGCTAAATGTTGTAAAAAACTATTTTTTATGGACAGTGATATATCAATGTATAATATAAGCACTAATACCGGTGTTGAAAAAAAATGCTAATATAGGTTGCAATAAAATTTTTTAAAAAAATACAGTAACATAAAGTGAATATTTTTTATTAATATAGTTTTAAAAATTTTGATAAATATATAAACTATTTATCAATTACGATATGATTTAATGATAATAATTCAACAAAAAAAAGTTTTTTTTTATTAATTTCATATATTGTAAATATATATTTTTGTATTTGTGTTTATATAAAAATATTAGCATGCGTAATTATGTTTTGCGCGTTTTATGAATTTCAATAATTTTTATAAAAAATCAATAAAAACTTTAATGATTATTATTATTTTGTTTTCTATTTATATAAATATGTTTTCTATTATTATACATATACATAGTAATTGAAAATAAAATAATTGAATGCATTTTTTTTATTAATTGTAAATTAAATATTACAAAATAAAATAATAGTTTTTTTCAATATTAATTTTGTATTATTATAACAGTATATGTAAAATTGTATAACATGTTTGAAAAAAATGATAAAATCCATACATTATTATTATATAATTGTTTTATTAATTTTGTTAATAAAACTAATAATATAATAGCTTATTGTTGTTGTTAAATATAAATTAAACTATATATTATTATAAAAAAAATAAATTGTATTGCAAAATAAATATATATATATATATATATATATATATATAAATTTAGACTGTATATACAATAAGTATATTTAAGTATTGCAATTGAATTTTTTAAAATTATAAAAAACAAATTATATAAAATATATTTAAAATGAATTTTTCATTTATTCTTTGGCTAATTTGTTTGTTAACAATTCAATTGTGTATTTTAGTTAATGTTGTTGTTGTTTCACATTATCCCGAATCAATTAGTAAGTTAATTGAAAAATTAAATATAAATTAAATTACAATATACTGTATATTATATATATTAAAATTCAAGTTTTATGCAATTAATTTTGAGAGTATTTTAAAACTCGATTGATTTTGACTGCTAGACTATTGATAGTTTATATTATATATATATGATGAAACCATACTTTAAATGTAAAAAATTACCAAGGTCATAATTATAAATAAAATTACACTTAACATAATTGCAATTGGTCATTTTTTTAGATTAATTTTAAAACTAACTTGATAATAGGCATCGACTGCTAGGTATAAAAAAAAGTTTATTATTTTTGTTAATGTATGTTATTTAATTTTTGTTAATTAATCTCAAAAAATAACCAATTGCAATTATGTTCAGTGTAATTTTATCTATAATTATGATCTTGGTCATTTTTTACATTTAAAGTATGGTTTATAAAGTATTTAATATATATACATAATATATACAATATATATACTGTATATCAATAGTCTATCAGTTGAAATGAGTTGAGTTTTAAGATAATGTCATTAATTTTTCAGATAACAAATCAACAGTTTTTAATGAAAGAAAGTTATGTCAACACCGAAACTATGGATACGACTCTACCGTATGTGTGTGTAGTAATTGGAAATGCGATAACGGTTTACCACCGATACAGAGGACACCGTACGGTAAAGTTGTCGCATACTTGACCACCAAATCAGGCGATCGTCTACAGGAAAGTCATATTGATTTTGGTCATACCCTGTCAAACGAGTTGTTTGCTAAGCGAACTGTACCGAAACTGACCATAACTGTGGACAGTAGTAAAAAATATCAATCAATTATCGGATTCGGCGGTTCGTTTACCGATGCCGTCGGTATCAACATTGACAAACTGTCGCCAAAATTACAGTTTAGACTTATTAGAGACTATTATTCAACCGATGGTTTAGAGTATACTATGGGTCGCATACCTATTGGCGGAACTGACTTTTCCACTCATCGCTATACCTATGATGACGACCACATCGATGACTTTGAGCTCAATTTCTGGAATCTGACGGTTGAAGACACAAAATATAAGGTTTACCCTCTTCTCTGTCTCTCTGTCTCTCTGTCTCTCTGTCTCTCTGTCTCTCTCTCTCTGTCTCTCTGTCTCTCTGTCTCTCTGTCTCTCTGTCTCTCTGTCTCTCTGTCTCTCTGTCTCTCTGTCTCTCTGTCTCTCTGTCTCTCTGTCTCTCTGTCTCTCTGTCTCTCTGTCTCTCTGTCTCTCTGTCTCTCTGTCTCTCTGTCTCTCTGTCTCTCTGTCTCTCTGTCTCTCTGTCTCTCTGTCTCTCTGTCTCTCTGTCTCTCTGTCTCTCTGTCTCTCTGTCTCTCTGTCTCTCTGTCTCTCTGTCTCTCTGTCTCTCTGTCTCTCCAATCACTTACTTACTCACACACACACACACACACACACACACACACACACACAACAAATGCATTATTTATTTATTTAGTTTTTTTTGTATAACCATTAGATACCGTTTATACGTAAAGCCATGTCGATCAGTAGTGGCCGAAATTTGAAACTTTTGGCCGCCACGTGGTCACCGCCCGCTTGGATGAAAAACAATTCAATGTTAACCGATGGTGGGTTTCTCATTGGTCAACCGGGAGGCAAATATTACAAAACATTTGCTAATTATATTGTCAAGTAGGGGTGGGGGTGGTGCTGGGGCTGGGGTTAACACTACTAGATCTAGAATTTATCATGGTGTTTTTGTTTGTTGTTAATTTAGATTTATCAATGCCTACAAAGCCGAGGGGGTACCCATTTGGGCGATTTCACCGCAAAACGAGCCGTACCTGAAAATTAGGGTAAACTTTAATCCGATAAACAATTTACAGCTCAGTCCGGAACTGGAAAGCGATTTTATACGCCTAGATCTGGCACCAGCCCTACACAAATCGGGTAACCAAGCGGTCAATATTATTGCCTACGATGACCAGTCACGCTGGCTCAGGCAGTTTGCCCAGGTAATATTTGACGATCGGCAAACTAGTAGATTGGTAGCCGGTATGGCCTATCATTGGTATACAAATCCTTTAACCGATTATTCCGATTTCGATTGGTTACACCAGTCGTATCCAATGAAATTTATATTGAGTACCGAGTCCTGTGTCCTCCGGTTTCTTGAGACTAAACGCGTCCATTTGGGCGCTTGGGATGCCTTTGATAAGTACGCCTACAATATTATTAAGGTATTATTATTATTATTATTATTTAAAGTATACCGGTATATTTTTTCAGGGTTGCTAAAGGGGGGGGTAGGGTAAGACTTCTTACTCTACTATTTAACTTAATGGGAATTTAATGAGAATATATTGGGAATTAACTCAAATTTGGCAAAAATTGTCGTTTAAAAATGCAATAAAAAATGTTCACTCCCTATACCCCCAAGATTTTTGCCATTTTACCCCCCCCTTATACCTCCCTGAAATCGAAAACTTTTAGCAACCCTGATTTTTTTTTGTTACTAAACTACTACAACTACTACTAATGGGAAATAAATTTCAGGATCTAAACTATTGGGTTAATGGTTGGGTTGACTGGAATCTGGCATTGGATGAACAGGGTGGTCCCAATTGGTTCAATGGGTTTGTCGACTCACCCATTATTATCAATACTACTGGCAACGAGTACTACAAACAGCCCATGTATTACTGTTTGGCACATTTTAGTAAATTTTTACCGCCCGATTCGGTAAGGATTGGCCACCAAAGGACGGCGGCCGCAGTAACCGATCAGTTGATCGTCGATACGCAGATTAAGTCGACTAGTTTTATACGTCCCGACACTGGAATAGTTGTTATTGTTTTGAATACGGGCAGCGAAGCCGTAGACTTGAAAATAGTTGATAAACAAAATCGTGCGGACATTTGGTTTGAATGGCGGGCACCGCCTAAATCATTACAGTCTATAGTTTATTATAAGTAATTTAAAAAAATTGTTATTCAAAAATTATTAAATAAATAAATTTTTTTTTATAAATATACTATATATATATATATATATATATATTAATTTAATTATATTAATTTTACTTATTTATATTAATATATATAGTATATACAAATTTATATATAATAATATAATTATCATTTTATTTTATTAATATTTAGTCAATAATATCAGTTAATAATATGTTTTGTATATTTGTTTGTTTTATAAATATATAGTAATATTGCCAATAATATCATCTATAATACTATATAAACTGTATTTATTGTAATATATATTATTTTAGAGTTTATTTTATTTAATTAAAATATATTTACAAAATTATTAAAATTTGGAAATAAACATAATCAAATTTAAGGTTTTTTGAAAAAATAATTTTCAATATTATAATCTTTTTAATAAACGGTAATACTATTCAATAGTATTGCAATTTGATATATTATATAACATGTGTTATTCAAAACATAATAATTTATTGTTTGAGTTAGAGCTAAGTTTACTGGAAATTTCCAGAGATCAGGGAAAATATTGAACTTTTTTTTAAAAAAAATTAAAACAATATATCTTAACCTTTAATTGTTAAAATAAATAAATGTTTTTAAAATTTATTTTATTGAAATTGAAATATGTTTTCAAATTTATTAAAATTTAATAAATAATAAAACAATTGAAATCTTTGTTTTTTAAAAATTTTAGTCTATATTTTATCAAGTGCAAATTAAATTTCTATTATATAACATTTTTTTACAAAAAAAACATATTATCAAAAAATATGTTTTAAACAAATTTATAATATTATTGCTATTATATATTGTAATTTAAAAAAAAACAAATTAAATTGTAAATGTAATATAAAATAATTCTATTAACGTTATAAATTAAATAATAATAATAATAAAAACAATATAAAACTTTTCATAAAATGTATAAAAATAAAATTAACTCTTTTCTCTAAAATAAAAAATTAGTATAAATTATAGTCTAATTTTATTTGAAGTTTTTTACTAAAATAATAATTTGATAATGACTTTGAAAATAATTGTATCGATTTTTTTAATCAATTTATTATTAGTTTATAGCGAATCTATTGATAATAATAATGCTAATAATAAAGATAATAATGATAAATTACATCATCATCATCACCAAGATATACATTTTCCACATTTTGATGGCTCAAACAATCCATGGCATAATAGTAAGTGATTTTTTTTAAATACCAGTAGTAGTTATTTTTTGAAAATAATTTGAACAAAAAAAAATATTCCTAGAAATATATAAGAAAATATAATTATATATTTATATACTGTATAAAAAACATTTTATATTAAGTTATGTTTGCTATTAATAACTACCATAATATCAAAACTTTGAAAAAAATAATAATAGATTAACTAAAAAAAAGTTTTTATATTCAATAAATTTAATTTAGAAAACTTTTTAATAATTAAAATATATAAACTGTATATATTAGTAAAATACTCTATAAATTTTATTAATTAGTATTATTATTAAATAATATATAATAATTTAAATAAAATTAAATGTATAATTTATTTAAAAAAAAACAATATGTTAATTAAGTTTTAATGATTTTTTAATGATTTTCGTATAAAAATCAATTGTTATTTTTAAAAAACAAAACATATTAATTATCAACAAAAAAAACTACAAAATCAGATCAAAACCGCGAGTCATGTATACCGCGAAACTATGGGTACGCCTCGACAGTATGCGTGTGCACTACCAGTCAGTGCGATACCGGTTTACCTAACATACAGCGTACACGTGGCCAGAAAGTCAGTGTCTATGTGACCACTGTAGACGGTGATCGGCTCCGGGAGACGAAATTTAATTTCGGTCATACCATAGCTAACTCATTGGTGTTTGGAGATCAGAGGGCAACAAAACTGACACTAACTGTTGATAGTAGTCAAAAACATCAGTCGATTGTCGGGTTTGGCGGAGCGGTTACCGATGCGACCGGTATTACTGTAGGCGCTTTGTCTGATGACCTGCAGACTAGACTCATAAAAGATTATTATTCAGCCGATGGTTTGGAGTATATATTTAGTCGCATACCTATTGGCGGATCTGATTTCTCCACTCACGGCTATACCTACGATGACGACCACATCGATGACTTTGACCTCAAATTTTGGAATCTGACGATTGAAGACACAAAATATAAGGTATATTCTCTCTCTCTCTCTCTCTCTCTCTCTCTCTCTCTCTCTCTCTCTCTCTCTATCTATCTATCTATCTATCTATCTATCTATCTATCTATCTATCTATCTATCTATCTATCTATCTATCTATCTATCTATCTATCTATCTATCTATCTATCTATCTATCTATCTATCTATCTATCTATCTATCTATCTATCTATCTATCTATCTATCTATCTATCTATCTATCTATCTATCTATCTATCTATCTATCTATCTATCTATCTATCTATCTATCTTATTACATCAATATACATATGTATGTATTATATGTATAATAATAACTAATTTTCAATTAATTCGTTGTTTTTATTTATTTACACATTATTAACATTACTTTTACTTATGATTACCAAAAAAACTGTCTGTTAGATACCGTTTCTTAAAAAAGCAATTGCTAACATCTATCTATCTATCTATCTATCTATCTATCTTATTACATCAATATACATATGTATGTATTATATGTATAATAATAACTAATTTTCAATTAATTCGTTGTTTTTATTTATTTACACATTATTAACATTACTTTTACTTATGATTACCAAAAAAACTGTCTGTTAGATACCGTTTCTTAAAAAAGCAATTGCTAACAGTCCTAATGTATTGAAATTTTTTGCCACCACTTGGTCACCGCCCGTATGGATGAAAAACAGTACAACGTTTAATGGTGGTGGGTTCATCAAAGATCAACCGGGGGGCAAATATTACAAAACATTTGCCAACTATATTGTCAAGTAAGTTATATAAATAATGTTAATGATATATAAAAATATAATATACACAAAAACAAATAAAAAAAATTTCTTGAACAATATATATTGTAAATACTTTTTTTTAACTTTTAGTAGTATTTTTCTAAAAAAGATTTAGTATATTTCAAAAAAAACTAATTTTACTACAAAATGTTTTTTTTTTACTAATAATAATATCTAACAAACAAACAAAAAATCATATAATATATGGCAATATACTTAATGTATAAAAAATAACTTTAAATTTAATCTACTTTTTTAAACAACAACAAAAAACAAACTAAGATTCATCGATAGCTACAAATCTAATGGTGTGCCCATTTGGGGAGTGACACCGCAAAACGAGGCCTATTTTAAAATAAAAAAAGGTTTCTACCCGTTCAACAATGTCCAGTTCACCCCGGAGCTTCAACGTGATTTTATTAAAAAAGATCTGGGTCCGGCACTGTTTCAATCGGGCAATAAGGACGTTAAGATTATGATCTACGACGACCAGTCCCTGTGGATTAAAGAGTTTGCACAGATAGTACTATCGGATCCCAGAGCTAACCGTTTGGTCGATGGTATAGCATTTCACGGATATTTCAACAATATTACCGATTTTAATCAGTTCAATGAATTGCACGCAAGATTTCCCCATAAGTTTCTATTGCCTACTGAACTGTGTTTGGCCAGAGATGGTGATCCCAAAAGAGTACATTTAGGCGGTTGGGAAGGGTTTGAATTGTATGCCAAAGATATTATCAAGGTTAGAAATATTAATTTATTTTATGTACTTAAAACTAATAATAATAATAATAATCTAAATTTATAGTATATTATAATTATTTAATAATTAGTTTTGAAATTATTACTATTAAAAAATAATATTAATAATTTCAAAACTAAAAAAATAATATAAATCTTATATAAGTTTGACTTAACTTGTTATGCAATATGTTTTAAATTTTTTTATTGATAATATTAGTTTATTGTAAATATATATATTATATAATTCTACTAATATATTATTATTATTATTATTATTAAAAATATATACCCAGTATCAACTATACTATCTAACACTAAACTATTGTATACTATACCTGTATATATATATATATATATATATATATATATATATATGTATATTAGGATCTAAACCACTGGTCAGTTGGTTGGGTTGACTGGAATATGGCATTGAATGTACAGGGTGGTCCCAATTATTTCAACGGGTTTGCCGACGCACCCATTATTATCAACAAAACAGGCAACGAGTACTACAAACAGCCGGCCTATTACTGTTTGGCACATTTTAGTAAATTTTTAGTACCAAACTCAGTACGAGTTAGTCATACCATTGATCAGCCAATGGATACAATCTATGCGACCACTTTCATACGTCCCGATACCGGTGTGGTTGTCATTGTATTGAATTTGGGCAACGATTCGGTAGATATGAGAGTAATGGATAAACAAAACGGTGATCAACTATGGTTTGAATTGCGTGTACCGCCTAAATCATTGCAGTCTATTATCTATTATAATTGATTTTATTTTATTTTTTTTTTGAAAAATATTTCATAGATATATATATTTTTATTTTTTTTGTTGATATAAATTTGATAATATAAAACATTTACATTTACTTTTTTAATAATCTTTATACAAAATAATTAATTTTTTTATGAATTTATTGAATATATTCTAAATATGTTTTATACAGTAATTTTTATATAAAAAAATCAATTTTAATAGTATATAATTCAACTTAGTGTCTATTATTTTATTATATAAAAAATTTATACAATTCAATGCAAAGTCATTTCACAAATAATAATAATAAAAAGATAATTTAAGTAATTTTTTTTAAGTAAAATCTATTTTGTATTTTGCAAATACTTAGTAAATCTAAATTTAAAATTAAAATAACTACATAAATATATACGTAAATAATGTTTGTAGACACTAAAAAAAATTACAAATTAATTATAATAAAAATAACTAATTAATAAATTGTTTTTTTTTGTAGTACATTCAATACATTTTTAAATTATATTATTTATACAATTATTTATTTTAATTAAGCATAAAGTTATTGTGGAAATAATAAATATTTAGCATAAATGCAGTGTTATTACAACTTGCATTAATTTTTGCATATATTATAATTTAAACAATAATTAGTAATTTATATTAGTTTATCACTATTTAAAAACATATTAAAAGTGTTTTATTGTTAATAATTTTCATTGATTACTAATAATACAGAGAGAAAAAAAATCGTATTTAATGACAACAACAAAATTATGTCAAAACATATATTATTTTATATGATCGATGCCGTCGGACACGTAAACTCGGCTATAGGTATTGGCCAACAGTTGGCCAGTGCTGGACACAAAGTATCGTTCCTTATAACGAGTCAATGGGCGCCAATAATAGAGTCGTACGGTTTTCAAGTAATTCAATATAGTATTAGAGCCAATAATAATAATAATAATGTGGATGAAGATCCCGGCAAAATATGGGCACAGGTATGTATAGATGAAGGCTATTTTACTGATCGATCACCACTTGATAAGATGATATCAGTGAAAACTATGCGTATGAAAGCCTGGTTTGATGATCTCAAGCTTATGGATCCAATTATCAAACGTATCATCAATGATGATGATGATGACCAGCAGCGACCCGATTGTATAGTTTTGGATCACTTTCATACCGTACCGTCAGTAGTGGCGTCGGGCATACCGTGGGTTTGGATATCCAGTGTTAGTCCATTGTTTCTGTTCGACGACAATAGAGTGCCGCCTCCCGGATCAGGTATTTAATGATGTTTTTTTCAATAAATTTATAGTAATTGGTAATAAAAATAATTTATTTTTCTAATATTAATAGGTTTATCATCATTGATAAGCGACAAAAGCGAGTGGTCAGCCTTCAGGACAGCCATCAATGACTCGACCAGTGATCTGTGGCATCAATTTAATAACTACTGTCTGGCTCAGGGTTGTAATGAATCGTTACCCGAATATCAGTATTTCTATCCGTCACCGTATCTCAATCTATATGTCTATCCTCGGGAACTGAACTACCAGGAGTATCGACCGTTACCTGAAAACTATAGAGGTTTAGATAATTTTATGAGACATGAATTGACAACCGTAGATAAACAACAGTTTGAGATACCGGAGCCATTAAGTGATAAACCGGGAAAATTGATATATTTTTCACTGGGATCTATGGGTGCAATCAATTTGGTAATTATGAAACGTTTGATCAGTATATTAGCCAAATCTGCGCATAGATTTATTGTAGCAAAAGGCTTACTGCACCGTGAGTTTGATTTGCCCGACAATATGTGGGGTCTGTCAACAGTTTCGCAGATACAGGTGCTGCCTATAGTTGATCTGGTCATAACTCACGGCGGCAACAATACAGTGGCCGAGACCATGTATTTTGGTAAACCTATGATAGTGTTGCCAATGTTTTTGGATCAGTACGACAATGCCCAGCGACTGGCCGACCAAGGATTGGGCCTACGATTGGATGTCTATAACTGTACGGAATGGCAACTATTGACGGCTATTGAAAATGTTTTGAACAATCGGGAAATGCAGAGGAAATTACTGAAAATATCGCAACGCATTCAAACAGATAATACTATTAAAGACATACCGCTATTGTTTGAAAAGTTTTGTTTTGACAAAAATAAATAAATAAAAGTTATTAAATAACTGAAAATAAAATTAATTATTTATTAGTGATTATAATTCCTATATATGTGTGTTTAATATTTTGTAAAATAATTAATTTTATTAAATAAAATGATATCTTAAATATATATACAAATATACTAAATATTATTTTTTGTTTTCATATCAAATTAATTGGCAAATTGTTTAATATATGTTAATATTTAGTTAATAAATTCAAATATTATTTTTTTATTATGAAAATGCATTTCATAGTTACTTATATAATTATGCCATTACTAATATATTTAGTATTTAATAATTACAAATTTAATAAACTAATCAATTGTAATAATAATAATACCTGTACTAGACAATTATGATATTGTAGAAATTTGAATTATTAATTGTATTTTTAATAAAAATCATAAAACACTTGTTATTGAAAATGTTTAGAGAAGTCAACAAACTATTATAATATATATACTGTATATATATTATAAGTTCATAAAAAACTAACCAAAAAAATTAGTTATTAAAAGTTATTAACAATAATATTGTAATATTATAGTAAATAAATTTTAAAAAATAAATTGTTTTTAATTATGATATTATGTATAAGTTAAGTTAATTGTCAATAGATTATTATTTTTATTGCTAATATTAATAATAAATTTGTTAGATTTAAACAAAAGTTATTGTCTAAAACATTTATCTAAAACAAAGTTATATTTTAAAGTAGATTACTTAAATTTTAAAATATTTTTTATAATAATTATAATATATATATATATGAAGTTCAAATTACTTTATAATATTATTTTTAAAAAAATTATTATTTTAATAAATTTTTTAAAAAATTTCTAAATTGATGAAATTGAAGGTCATATTAATAAATATATTTTCTAACAGTGTATGTGTGTTACTATGACTTCACTTTTCATTACAAACAAATAGTGTCATTTAAATAGTAGTTTTATATTATTTACTATTACATAATAGTTTTAACAGCTAACTGTGTCACTAATATATCAATAAATCATAACAAATACTGCTGATCACACACACACATAGACACACACACACACACACACACACACACACACACACACACACACACAAATACACACATACATACACACATACATACATACAATATTATATACTAACAATTGTAAGTGTTTGGCATATGAGTGTGCATATGCATAAATCATCATATAATTATTATACATAATAATATAATATATTGATTAATTGTAAATAGCTATAATAATAATAATAATAGGAAAGTATGCTAATGAATTGGACAGTTAGATAAATAGATAATTAAATAGTTAGAGAATGTTATGCTAATAATAATAATAATATAAAGTGTTGTAAACAAATATAACTTTATTTATTTATATATTTTATATGTATTTGAAGGAAAACTTGTTTACCGTATAATAAATAGTTAGTTATTATAATTATTATTGAAAAAAATTATAGCATTATTAATATTAAAAAACAGGTATAATTCAAATGCTATAGAAAAATACTCGGGAGAGTTATACATATTATATACAGAATATATATATATATATATATATTAATAGATGTCATTAATTATAAAATTTTATAAATGAATACAACATAACAACAACAACAACAACAATACAAAAAAAATATTGAATATTATTATAATAAGTCGTGTTTTATATTTCAAGGATATACCTGTATATCTGTTAATCAATAGACAAAATAGTATAAAGTTTTTTTATATATTTAAAAAATGGTGTAATTCTTGTTATTTTAGATTTTTGATGTTTGTTTAATTGATTTGTTTTATTAATAATTATAACCACTAATAACTAGTTATACTCATCTAATAATAATCATTAAAATCATTATATTACTATTAATTGAATTAGTAGTACTATTTTATAATTAGTAAAGTTAGCACTAATAATAATAAATAATTTATTTTACATTTTTGTTTGCATATTTAAAAAAAATAATTAATTAAATAATACGCTAACATATGTTTGTATAAAGTTGTTTATCATAACAAAAATGTGTGTGTTTTAAATGAGTTTTATATATGCATACATATATAAAAAAATATTTTTTATTTGTAAAATCTAGTGATTAATATTACAACTACAGAGTACAACACTGAAATAAAAAATCTATAAATATATATCAATAATATTATTTTCATTATATTGTAGGAAATAATATATTGTATAATAAAATACCTGTCATTTGATTGTGTGTGTGTTGTGTACAGTATATAGTTTTATGTGACAAATGTTTTTTTTAGCATTATTTGTCCAAATGTTTGCCATCACATAATAAATGAAATAAAATACAATAATACAAAATCTATTATTTATTAAACATTTTTCATAATAATAATAATTATTATTATTGATAAATATTGCATAGTTTGATACTTTCTATATATATATAATTGACTACATAAGTGAATGCAATAAATAACCTATTTTTTAAATTTATTGTTTAGTTTGTTAATATTATTAGTAATTTTTTAGTTGTAATACAAAATATATTGATATATATGATAAATATTTTGTATAACTAAAATAGAGTGTATTTTTGCAATAATTATTTGATTATAATAAATATTAGTGATCAAAAAAAATATTTCAATGCAACTGTATTTTTATGTGTTTGTATAATATTGTCATTTATTTTTAAAATACATTTACTAAATATATATGTGTTTTAGTTGCTATATATAAATGTTATATAATTTTTTTCATCATTAACATTATGATGAACAAACACGTTTTGATATAAAAACAAAATTTAATAATAATAATAATAATAAAAATAAAATAACATTTTAACTAATTAGCAAACATAGACTATGCTAATTTCTATTCAAAAACAATTTTAAATGATATCCCAAATATCATTAAATTTTGTATAATTATAATAATAAATATTTTAATTTGTTTTATTAAATACTAAAAAACTCAATTATACTCATCTATTATTATTATATATTACTGTTAAAATTGTTGAATAATAATTGCAATCTATAAAAAAATCATTATATAAATATATACAAAATGATTATATTTATTTTAATTGGTTTAATATTTTTAACGGACAGTAATAATGGTGTTAACGGGTATTTAGATCTGGAATCTAACCGTCAAATACCTATACGATTGGGCAACGAGTGTGACCTACGGGTTAGCAATGATCACGAGTTCGAGACCTGCAAACGTCGGGCACAAACCGATTGGCTTACCTATGATATGACACAACGACACAAATACGAGTGTTGTTTTGAATGGGTAGGCATAGGATTATTATATATTTTATATTTATATTATTATTATAAATATTAATAATTAATGTTTTATTCAATTTAATTGCTTAAATTAATTGTTATTTTTTTAAAAAAAATAATTAATAATAGTTACTAAAATATTATATCATAAAGTCCTATTAGATTAGCTAAAATATAATTTATTTAGTAAATTTATAATAAAAATTCTATAAAATGCCAATGAATATTTTTTAATAACTGAAATTAATAGTTAATTTTTATTATTTATAAATTGGTTGATATATTGTAGTTAACTAAAAATATATATTTTTTTAATTTTAACATTAAAAATCTTAAAGACATTTAAAACACTTAGATTTAAAAAATTTTAAAAAACTAAAAGTTACTATATATAATAATATGCATTATTAACTAGTTTAATAATATATTTTTCTAATGATAAATTAAAAGAAAAAATATTTTTATAAAAAATTAACTATTATTAACATAAAATTTTTTACATTTTATTAATACGACAATCCAAATATATAAACAAAAATATTTATTTAATAAAAAATAAATTATAAGATATTAGTTTACAGTTTATTACTTTTGTATTTAGCACTAAAATATTATTAGTATAACATATACTGTATAGTAGAATACAATATATTGTGAAAAAAAATTTAAATAACTGTAAACTCTAACATATTATTAAATAATAAATATATATTTTGAAAATAATTACTTATATTTATGTAGGTATTGATATCTAATTTAAAATATACACTAGAATTAGAATTCAATGCCTACAATTATGCTAAAAATATTTAAAAAAAAAATAATTTTAAAAATTACAAATAAATTATAATTAGTTTGTTAAAATAACAAATTATATATTTATTTTTGCACAAAAAATAATAATTTAATAAAAACATGCATTATTTTCAATCAATCAATCAATCAAACCATAGGATCTAATGGACTGTCAGGATAAGTCCATATACGCACTGTGCGATCGTTGGCAGTACGACAACGACTACAAACCCTATTGGAAACGCCAACGCGAATACATCGACAGCCAAGAGGAACACCAGTGCCGCGAATATCGATATAACGGTGCAAAATGTCGGTTCCCTGTCTGGGGTATCGTATTGCTGGTGTTGGCCGCTGTACTGGTTGTAGTAGTCATGATTGCTGTCTGCTATTATGTACGGCTGAGGAGTCGCCGACAAAAACAAAGAAATCAAATGATTGAAGAATAATGAAAACTATTGTTTAATATTGTTGTTGTTGTTGTTATTGTTATTAACACATATTTTTCATTATTATAATTATATTATAATATTAAGATTTTTTTATTTCATTAAATCATTTATGTTTTTAAAAAAAATCAAATTTGTATTTTAAACATATAATATTATATATTATATATACACAGAATATAAACTTATAAATGCATTTATATATATATATATAGACTTTCAAGATTTTGATTGAAAATATAATGTATAATAAACACTACGGTATTATTGTAAAATGTTTTCAACAACAAAAAAATAATATTTAACTCATTTGTTTTTATACCTGCATAAACATTATTATTATTATTAATTTTAAAAAATTATTTAGATTTTAATGTCTGCAACTAAATTACTAAATAAATAAATAAACTATCATAATAATTAAATAAATTAATAGATAAATATTATATATAATATGTCAATAATAATATTTTAACTTAAAAAAATTAAATGTCATAAAATTATCTAATCTACAAATTTTGATATACAGTATAATTTAGTTATTAGTGTTCACAAGTTATTATTAGTTTAAAAAATATGATTGAATTTATTAAATATTGTTATATATAATTAAGTTTTTTATTTGTTAAAAGATATAATATATAAAATATTGTTATGTAATAAAATTAATAAAATAAACTTTTGATTGATTGTTTATATAAATGTAATTTTAATGATAATTAAATACTATTATTTAAAAATTTTTCATACATTGTATAATAATTATTAGAAAAAAACTTAATATACTAATAAATTTATTATTATTAAAAATCTTTAATAAAATTAAGTAAATCCAAATTTAATTATAACTAATTGACCAGAAATATAAAAATATTGAAAAAATTCTTTATTAATTTAAAATTTAGACATTAATATACAATATTAATATTAATTTTATAACTAATCTTAAAATAATATAATTAATATAAAACAATTTTTTTGAACAATAAAATTAAACAATTCCCATAATAGTAAAAATCAATTGACCAAAAATATAAAAATATTGAAAAACTTCTAAACTATTAATTGGAAACAAATCATAACAATAGATACCAATTGTCGGACCCGACAGTCGCTCAATATATATAAGTACTTTGAGTTTCATATGAATATCAAGTGTCGAATGTCTACCTAAATAACTATACAATAGATTTAATGGCAAATGAGCTGATTTGCTGATCCATGAATTCATTATATAAATAAATTGTATTAATGAAACCGCAAACAGTGTCATAAAAATGAAAAATATTTTAGCCATAATTGTAGACTCCGTATGAAATGTACAGTAAATACAAAACAGCATAACAGGGGTTGCAATAAAATACTCGAGAAATACCAGACAACGTAAATAATTGTTAAATTGCATAACAATTTCAGTAAACTTATTGTTAGATATAATTAGTTTGATTAGACGTCTTGGATATAATTTCTGCCATTTGTTTGATTGTGAAATAAATTTTATATTTTCATAATTTAATTCATTATATTTTAATTGAGTAAATCTTGCAAAACTAAACCAAAGAGCAAAACCAAAAAACAGGAATCCATAGACTTTTATTATTAATATAGAATATATAAAATTAATTAAAATTGACTAGACCAAATTGACGATCAAACTGTTCAATGGCCAGTCGTACGTCTGTGTCGTCAAATTTATTAATATATACATTTTTTTTTATTTTTTACAATTTCATATTTAATTCTATATTTTAGTATTAGTAATATTTTTATACTTTATATCTGTTTATTAATTTATTAAAAATTTGCTAATTAATAGATCTGTTGTTTATAGTTTAAGCCAATTGATTTATTATATAATAAAATATATAATTTATAAATAAAAATCTTACCTATTTTATTGAAAAAGGTTGGAAAAACCATATTTTTTCGATATATTTATAAGCATTTTTTAGATAAATTATTTTGTGATCATCATTAATATGATCTAATATAATCATATCATTTTCATTTTTTTATAACATATCTTACACACATAAAATTTTTTATGGTGTATGTGCCATTTATCCAACTAGGATAAATTATCCCGGTCCACTTTTTAAATTTATGAGTTTAGTAAGAGTTGAATTTTTATCCATTCTTGATCATCACTATATTGCATAGTATAATCACGTGCTTTGAATGTGTATAACATTTGATTAGTATTGAGTAATGTGTTTACCAGATATTTGAAACAATTGTTTTTTAGTTTGTTTGTTTCATTGAGTAATTGATAGACAGATTGATTAATTAAGTATTTTATTGTTGATTTGATATCTTTTTTTGTTTTGATTGATTGTTTGTTTGATTGATTGATAACTATTAACGACAACAACATCATCACCGATGGATCCAGAGAGGATAAGAGAGTTATTATTATTATTGATTTAATTATTAGTATAACAGTGATGAAAACAACGATGTGTATGAATGTGTATATATAGGCTTATGTATAAGTTTATGTATAAGTTAATGTACACTATTGTCATTACACAGGGTCAACCGCGAGAAGGTTTTGTACACTCGCCCCAAAATATTTACATATATATAACTACTTTTTTAGATTTTTTAATTTTATCATATTTTATTAAATATTTATACATAATTTAATAAAAAAATTTAAGTTTAATAAGAATTGAATCGATTTGAATATGTGTAGATGTAGTTTGAGTCACCTTACAGATAGGTCTAATTTTACTTCTCAATTATATTCCATTGAAAGTAATCCATTGAAGGCAATCATCGTCATCTTCTGGATTGTCGTAAGTTTGAGATGTGCTATTGACCATAAATGTACAATGCTGCACACAAATAGAAACAACTTCTGCAGAATTTTCTGTTTCGATTGACTTCATGTTACTATCAATTTGAATAGTAACCTCTTTAGGTAGAGGTTCGCTATAAACCACTTATCCCATTAATTTTAGGCCTCGGCTACTTGGGCCAGTAACTCTAATATTTTAGCTGTCAAAGTCTTACTCATAAATTTAAGACGTTTTAAATCAAAATCTTCAAAATTACGTTTGATTGAACTGTCGGCTGTGGTTGCATCGATCTTTAATTTTTTTGCCGGTTTAATTCGAAATGCTTCAAAATCTGGAACACAAGTTTGGTCAGATAAAGACAATTTAAAATCTTCTTTGAAGTATTTGAAGGCATTTCTTAATGTTATCATAAAGAAGGTATCGTGCCCATCAGCGCAACCTTGAATGTCATTAGTTGAAAATGCCATGAACATGACATAACACTTGAACAAATGTTGTGGCAAATCATTGTTCGTCGCTATGGGCTGGTATAAGTACCGAGTCCGCATAGAAATCTTTGTTGAAATACGTGATTCCAACACTTGTCCTTTCATACTTTTTCTTGCCTTTGACAGTTTAAGATAAAACTGTGGTCGCTTTTGATCTTTTGAAGACGACCTAAAGTATAACCCATTTGCCAAGGTCTCCAAAACTCTTTTCAAACCATTTAAGGTTTTTTGTGGCTAAACCATCCTATTTTTTAAATATCTCTTTTGAAAAATCCTTTTGATTTTGAGTTTGCCAGTTCTCAAAATACTTAACGAAATTCTCTTTGTAAAAAGGATTACCAAAAAACTTATCAAAAGTTACTCATTAAATTCTTTGCCATAATTACATATATAAAAACTGAAACTAAAAGTAAAAAATAGTAACTAAAAAAAGTCAAATGAATATAAAAACGATAATGATCAAAAACTGATAAAATAAAATCAATAGCAAAATATGAAAAATGAACTCAAAAGTAAAGACTAAACAAAAATGAACAAAACAAATTAACTTTACCGATAATGATAGTAATTAAAATTTATAAAATGTTTAACAGTACGCATGATCGCCAAAATAGTTGATTTATAAGTTATTATATTAAGTAACTTATTTTTAAACATAATTATGTAGTTATTACGTAACTTTCCAGATATAGCCCTATGTATACTACTAAATAATATTAACTAAAATAAAATAATTTAAATACAGTACTTGATTAACAATAGCTGTTGCGGCAAATTTTAAACTACATATCAATACTACTAACTGTGTTATCAATACTATAATTAATCGCATTTTATTTAATTGTCTACTAATATACAGTAGTTATCAAAGTTTTCATATAATACTATATAAAATCGGTTTAGAATTGATTCACAGCTTTCAATGGCCGGTCGTATATCAGTATAACTGTCAGTACTAAACATTTTTATCTATAAATAAGTAGTAAATAATTTACATCAAAAATATAAAGTAATTATTATATTTGTAAATTTATAACAATTACTGGGACTTAACGATGATTATTTTTTCACGTAAATTTCTTCAAATATATTAATATTACTGTAAATATTATCTTAATATATTTTAAGTATAATATTTTTTTAATAATAGTTATGACATAAGTAAACTATCATAAATAAGTTAATTTATACCAAAAAATATGATATATTACTTTTAATTTAAATAAATATAAACTGAAATATAAATTATTAATTTATAAACAACTTAATTTCAAAAATATATTTAATAATCTATTAATATATAATTATATTGAGTTATTATTAATATATCAATATTTTGCTTAGTATATGATATAAATGTTTTGATAAATCTTAATATTATACTTTATATTATATATATATGTTTTGAAAATATTGAAAAAAACTACTAAACTCTTATATTTATACATTTTATTTAATTTAATTTATTATTATCATTATTGATTTACCTAAATGTTTATCAAAATAACATAAAATAACATTAAAACTATTTATATATAATTTACACAAATTTGTATAAATAAAACACAAGAAACAAATTAAATTTTAATTATATTGTTTTTAAACTTTATAACTTAACTTTATATTACAAATATAATTATAAACCAGTTGACAATGCTAGAAAGCATTGTTAGAAATAAACTTTAAATGCAAATATTTTTTTTTGTGTTTGCATTTTACTAAAAGTTTGTAAATAAAACGC